GCTGCTGCTGCTGCTCTTGCGGGTGCTGCTGTGGCTTTTGCTTGTCACGTGTCTGCTGCTTCTACCGCAGGCTGCTGCCTGCTATTATCTGTATTGACCTTGCTGCTGCTGCTGCTGCTGCTGCTGCCGCTGCTGCTGCTGCTGCAGACGGCTCAGGTGGACGTGCTGCGCCGTGGCTACGAAGAGCTGCTGCAGCAGCTGCAGCAGCAGACGGAGCGGGCTGAAGCGCTGCAGCAAGACTCGTTGCTGCTTGAAAAGGTAAAAAACAAAGATTATTCTATGGATGCTGAAGCAGCAGCAGCAAATTGTCGTGCTGCAGTCTGCTGCAGATCGCCAGCAGCAGCCGGCATTGAAGCTGCCGCAGCAGCAGCAGCAGCTGCAGCTGGAGCTCCCCAACAGCAGCAGCAGCAGCGCTTCTAAAATGCTGCTGCCGCCAAGTGATTTGCAGGGTTTCCAGCAGCGAAGTATAGAGATAGATCTTACGCTGCAGCAGCTGATGCAGCAGAGCAATCATCAGCAGCAGCAGCAGCAGCTGCTGTTGGCGCCGCAGCAGCAGCAGCTCCTGAAGCCACCGCAGCACCACTCACAGCAGCAGCAGCAGCAGCAGCGGCTCCGGCTGCAAGAAGACGCCAGTCATTCTCCTCTTTACAGCAGCAGCAGCAGCAGCGCGGAAGCTGCAGCAGCATTTCTGGGCGGCCAGAGGCAGCAAACGCGAACGCGCGAGCAGCAGCAGCAGCAGCAGCAGCAGCAGCAGCAGCAGCAGCAACAACGGCACGAAGTGCTTTCCTCGGACGTTGCTACATTAGACGACGTAAGGATTTGTACTTTTTGCTGCTGCTGCTGCTTCTGATGCCGCAGCAAATGTCAAGAGCTGTAGCAGCAGCAGCAGCAGCAACAGCAGCAACAGCAGCAGCAACAGCAGCAGCGAAGCTCATTCTGCGTAGCTCGAGACTGGCTGCCTGCATTCACTGTATCGACAGCCTTCGCAATGATTTCCTGTTATTGCTGCTGCTGCTGCTGCTTTTACCCCTGCTGCTGCGGCTGCTGCTGCTGCCTCTACTGCTGCTGCTGCTGCTGCTGCTGCTGCTGCTGCTGCTGCTGCTGCAGGAAGAGGAGCTTGAGGAAGAAGTGCAGCGCTACAACAGCCGCCTTGGGGGCCCTTTGCTGCGTCGAGTTAGAGGAAATGTTTATTTATATGGCATTAAAAGAGTGGAGCTGCGGCTCCTCAACTCCAAACTCATGAGTCAGCTGCTGCTGCTGCTGCTGCTGCTGCTGCTGCTGCTGCTTCTGCTGCTGCTCTGTGTGGTCGCCAGTTTCTGCGGTGCTGAGGAGAGGCTCGGAAATCTGCTGCAGCAGCAGCTGCTGCTGCTGCTGGGAGTGCTGCTGCAAACTGCATGCAGCGAAGGGTTGGGGTGTGGCAGGGAAGCAGCAGCAGCAGCAGCAACAGCAACAGCAGCAGCAACAGCAGCAGCAACAGCATGATGCGGGCGTGAGTGTTTGCTGCTTGCAGGGAAGACAGAGGGAGGTTGGGATTCGTTAGAGGACTTATCTGCTGCTGAGGAAATAGAAGCAATTGACTCTTTGTCCCTGCAAGGATGAGCAGCAGCAGCAGCAGCAGCTGCTGCTGCTGCTGCAAACTTAGCAGGAAGAGCCGCAGCAGCAATAGAAATACGTGCATCCGCAGCAGCAGCAGCAGCAGCAACAACACCAGCAGCTACGCCGTGATCACACCAAATAGCAGCAGAAGCAGCAGCCGACACCGGCCTTTAGCAGTAGCAGCTGCAGCAGCAGCAGCAGCAGCAGCAGCAGCAGCAGCAGCAACGGCTGCTACTTAATACTTTTGTCCCTCCAGAAGCCCTTTAGTTGGCTCCGCAGCGCCTCTAGGGGCCCCAGCTTTCCTTTAGGGGCCCCCAGGGGGCCCCACAGACCCTAAGGGGGCCCCTGGAGGGCCCCCCACCCTGGGGGCCCCCCCCTCTTGGGGGGCCCCCGTTGCCTCTAAACCCTTTATGCATTTAAAAGGCTCTCTGGCCTCTTAGTGGGGCCCCCGGGGGCCCCCGGGGGCCCCCGAGGGTCCTTGGGGGCCCCTGGGGGGCCCCAGGGGCCCCCCATGGGGCCCTTTGCTCAATGACTGCAACAAACTGCCCGAGGGGGCCCCTTTAAGTGCTCCCTGCGGTTTGACGGCTTTGAAAGGGCCCCCTTGGGGGCCCCTAGGCCTCCTCTGGGGGCCCCTTTTGGGGCCCCCTGGGGGCCCCCTAGCGCTCCTCCGGGGCCCCATTTGGGGGCCCCTGGGGGGCCCCTCTGAGGCCCTCTGGGGGGCCCCCTGCGCTGCAAAAGAGGCCCTTCCCATAGTCACTCTGCATGCAGGACCCTCTGCAGCTAGGGGGCCCCCTTAGGGGGGCCCCCCTTGGTAGCCAGAGGGGCCCCTCCTGTAGCTAGGGGGGCCCCCTTAGGGAGCTGTGGGGCCCCACCTTCAAGCTAAAGGGGCCCATTTGTAGGACTAGGGGCCCCTCTTTTAGCTGTGGGGTTTAGCCATGGGGGCCCCTGCGGTACTTGTGGGGGCCCCCTTAATGCCCCTGGGGGCCCCCGTGTACCTGTGGGGGCCCCTTTAGTGCCAACGGGGGCCCCCGTAGTACCCCTGGGGGCCCCTCTGTAGCTACGGGGGCCCCTGTAGTGTCTAGGGGGGCCCCTTAGTACCCCTGGGGGCCCCTTTGTAGCTAGGAGGCCCCTTAGTACCCCTGGGGGCCCCTCTGTAGCTAGGGGGCCCCTTTAGTGTCTATGGGGGCCCCTTTAGTGTCTATGGGGGCCCCTTTGTAGCTAGGGGGCCCCTTAGTACCCCTGGGGGCCCCTTTGTAGCTAGGGGGCCCCTTAGGACCCCTGGGGGCCCCTTTGTACCTAGGGGGCCCCTTTAGTGTCTATGGGGGCCCCTTTAGTGTCTATGGGGGCCCCTTTAGTACCTGTGGGGGCCCCCCCCGGGCATTTTCGAAGCCAGAGGTTCAACACTCCTAAACCCTAAACCCTAATTCGCGAACCCTAAACCCTAGTCTGTGGGCGAGCCGCAAGTGTGGGAACTTCGGTCAAATGATCTTGCGGAACTGGGGGTTAGGGTTTAGGGTTTAGGGTTTAGGGTTTAGGGTTAGGGATTCGAAGTGGCTGCAACAATGCGGAGCCTGAAAGCCTAAAAGAGAGACAAAAGAGGAAATTGCAAAAAATGTTTCGTTTTAAAAATAAATCTTCTGTTCTTGAGTTTGCTACAGTTGCTGCTGCTGCAGTTGCTGCTGCTGCAGTTGCTGCTGCTGCAGTTGCTGCTGCTGCTCGCGGTAATCGTGGGGTTGGTTGTGTTGCTGCTGCTGTAGTTGCTGCTGCTGCAGCTATTGCTGCTGCTGCAGCTATTGCTGCTGCTCGCGGTATATGGTGCTGGTGGTGGCGTTGCTGCTGCTGCTTCTAACGCAGCTCCTGCTGCTGCTAATAAAAAGCGGCAGCAGCGACAGCAGCAGCAGCAGCAGCTGCTGCTGCTGCTGCAGCTGCAGCTGCTGCTGCTGCTGTTTGCTGCGTAGCTCAGTGCGAGTTGCTTCTGCACCCACACGAGCAGCAGCTAAAGCTTGTAACAAGTGACAGTAAAAATTTCATTTCCAATTTTGCTTCTGCAGCTGTTTAGCACTTGTGTTTATTTTTGTTTTTATTATAAAGACAAAATAATTAAATTAAAAGATAATTAACTTTCATTCTTCTCTGCTGCAGTTTGTCGGGTTTATTTGCTGCACTTCAGCAGCAGCCGTTAACTCTCGAAGTCACTGCGGGGCGGGCGGCAGCAGAAATGAACAAAAAGCCTTTATTTTGAAATATTTTCATTTTAAAATTAAAACTAAAAGGTAAATTTAATTCAAAATTAATTCAATAAGTGCAAGGGAGGAAAAACGGCGGAGAGGCGGCGCCGCGCCTCTCGAAACCGGGTGTACGTACAGCTGGGCGACCCGCGGAGCACACCTGGCTTTTGAAGCGTCAAATCAAATAAAATAAATAAAATCATTTAAATTATATTTATTTTTATTTAAATAAATTCGGTTTATCGCGCAAACTGGCCGTTTGCGGCCCTGGAGTTGAGGTGTATGTACACCTCAGCGCATGCAACAGGCGCAGGGCGCTTGTCTGCTGAAATCGAAGGCAAAAAGGAGCCTGTCTTCTTTACACGCAATTAAATACATTTAATTTCCCATTTAATTGAAATTAAACTTTTCGAATTCGACTTATTCTTTTCTGCTGCTGCTGATCTGAACATACACCTCAACCAGTCAGCAACTGCACCGCAGCAGCAGCGCCCCAGTTTCCCTTTTTTCTCCCTTTCCTCTTTTTCATGCTGCCGAGCTGGCTGCTAGGGTTTAGCGTGTAGGGTTTAGGGTTTAGGGTTTAGGGTTTAGGGTTTGGCCGTGCAGGCCGTGGCATTGCGGCGCAGCAGCTCCCGCAAGTTCGGTCAGCGGCGGAACTCGCCTGCCCCTCAGCCGGTGCAGCAGCAGCAGCAGCAGCAGCAGCAGCAGCAGCAGCTGAAGCAGCAGCAGCTGCTGCGTTTCGTTGATCTCGACCGCTTCTGCTGCTCTCCGGTTTCCCCGGCAGAGCAGTCGCTTGTCTCAAAGGCAGCAGCAGCAGCCGCAGCAGCAGCAGCAGCAGCCGCAGCAGCAGCAGCAGCAGCAATACTGCGGGAAGGAGCATTGCCGCCGCCTTCGCAGACTCCTCTGCATCGCTCACTAGCAGCAGCAGCAGCAGCAGCAGGACAACGACAAGCATCAGCAGCAGCAGCAGGACAACGACAAGCATCAGCATCAGCAGCAGCAGCAGCAGGACAACGACAACTATCAGCAGCAGCAGCAGCACCGAACGCCCCACACCAGCCGCTGCAGCAGCAGCAAAAGCCGCGCCCCACCTCCTGCATCCCCAGCATTCCTCCCCCTCTCCCTCCCCCACCCGCAGCAGCAGCAGCAGCAGCAGCAGCAGCAGCAGCAGCAGCA